CAAATACGAGTGTGTCATGTCGACTCATGGCTAGCTTGTGTTCCCTAATACAAGTCTCTAGGCGTCGACCCCTGTGGTTAATTTATGTCGGTCCGACTGAGGTAGATGCTGATGTGCAGTGTATTCCCCACAGAGTGGTAGGCGTAGGACGATGAATCGCGCTCGAATATTGATAGCAGACCTGCGCAGTGTTTGTCGCACCCTTCCCTCCCCCGCCCACCTGGATCCGATAGAAGGACAGAGTTGGTCCCTCTTTAGGGATGGAATCATTTACTTAAGTTATTGTTGCTCTCAATGAAGATAGTGGCCTGTGGACGATGCGAATACCGAAATGTCTTAGCTGCCGGAATATCGCTCTAGTGGGCCTCGGATTTTTGCTGCACGCTTTTTTTTCATTGAAATTTTAATGGTTTGGCTGCATCTGATGTCAGGCGTTAGCGAGGCTGAACAGATACCATTTAGAGATAATGCGGCCTCTGATACATATGTGGCATGTCTGCATTTTGAAGTCTTCTGTCTGAATTGAATTTGAATAACTTCTTCAGTTCTTGATTTTGATGAGCCCATTTGGTTTCTCTTACTTGTTAATTGTTTCTCTTAGCCTGTTGTTCGTGCAGATTGTCAAATTGTCAATGGTTCCTCAGGCAGACATTGACCATTTCTAAGACATATTGCGTTCCGTTACTGACTAATTGCCCTGTTAAGCGATTACTTTTGCAACTTATTTAAAGACGGGCTGGAAGTTAGACATGTAGCGCATTACTTTTAAAATGCCACTATTTCACTCTACCGCCCTCTAGGTCCTACTAAAAGTCCAACTAAGTGAACTACTGCGGACATACTTCAAGAAAGGGGAAAAAGAGGGGGAGGATCGAGATGGGGGTTTATTGCGCGAGACTGCATGGTGCCTCTGGACCAACTATCTTGCCATCACGGGTGAACTTGGTTCCAGACCCTGGGCATTGGCTTTTCAGCAAGTCTCAGCAGCCGGTTGTCAGCTTCTCCGCTCTCGTCAGTCCTTCCTCTCCTTTTCCTCCACTACTGTGCTCAACAAAAGCCAGTGGCCTAGAAAGCCGATCAAGCGAGCGACGGATCTTGACAGCAGCAGTCCGCAGCAGCAGCCGCTTTCTCCGAACTCTGCCATACTCATGGTTAATGCCGTTTGGCTGAACATGCAGTTTCGCACAAAGAACTTCCACTGGGCAGGCTGGGGTCAAATTTACAATCCCAAGGAGGCTGCCGGTCTGTCTTTTCACCTCTTCGGTCCTGAGCCAGAGTAAGTATCCCGTAAGGCTTGT